CGTGTACGGGACGCACGCCATGGCGCTTCCGGCGGTTCCGATAGCGTTGGCTGCTGCATGTAAATGGCAGTTGGTGTGTGCTTTTAGTATTTTCCTCTTGAGCTCCCCAACAGTATCGTGGCTTATTTGATGTTTGCAAATTTGTTTCGCAACTCCTTGTTCCCTCAATAAGCGGCTAGTAGTGACTGCCGCATGACTCCTACTTTTGATAGTAAATTTATATTTACTTTGCTATTTTTTGTTGTTTCACTAAATTTTCTTTATGCAAAAACTCATGCGTTCCTCCTCCAGTCCTTTATGCAGTGTGGATCGTGTTTGTGGCGTGGCTTTGCCGCCTAAGTGAGTCTCTACACTGCGCGTGCGTTTATGACTATGGCATTTGCCGAACGTGACTTGCTTTCCAAATTCAATTCAAATATAAATGGTAAATAAATTCACTAACAAATGTTGTCTATGGCGCGACAACAAAGCAAAATGTAAATGCAACAAAATGTGAGTGCCGCAACGTGTGTCTGTCTCTCTGCTGTTACTTAGTAACTGTCGCTGCTTACAGTGTGATTTTCTTTGCTTAAATTTTAAATAAAAGCTGCTAATTTTAAACATCTATTCACTTTTATTTCTTTTAAGTTGTCAATATTTTTGAGAATTATGCACTGAAATTTAGACATTCGTTTTTTCTTTAGGTATTTTTAATTTATTTTTTTTGAAATTTTTTCAAATTCAATTTGTATTAAATTTTTTATTCAATCATAAACTATTAGGGCGTGTTGAAGAATGAGCTACTCGTCGTAAAAAAAAGTTTTCATGTAAAAATTTATTGATGGATATTTTATATATATTTATGTTTATATTTATATTTATATTTATATTTATATTTATATTTATATTTATATTTATATTTATATTTATATTTATATTTATATTTATATTTATATTCATATATAGTTGCATTTTCAGTCAAATCTTTCCCACTGTTCATAGCTAGCCATTATTAACAGTGCTATACTTTTACCCTTTTGTGGTGACACAAGTAACTAGTTTTTTTACAAACAAGAAAAAAATTTGCTTAAAAATGCCTCCTTTCGGCACGTATACATTTAGTTAGATATTTACTATTACTCACGCGCCCAATTCCTATTCAATGTAGGACTTTTAACATTGTGGTTAATGTTTTTTAACGCGCAAATTATGGCGTTTGGCATAACAGTAGTTGGAGTTCGTTACTAAAAGTAAGGTTGTCTGTAATATGAGGTCTAAGCATCTCCTTAAATTAAGAATTTATTTAAAAAATATTTTATACCACAAATTATCCCAGTTTTCATAATTCTTATTCGAGGAAAATGATGAAGGCAGATGAAAGAAATTATTTGATTATCATTTTGCAATAACTTGAGGGAGACACGTTTTGTTTTGAAGTTGTAGGGCGACTCTCGTAAGTTTCGAGTGAATTTAATTTCACAGAAAGTTCAAAAAGTTTCAATATATTTTATTTTTTCCCCCAGAGAATAGACACTGGAATTATTGGAGGGTATTTTCTAAGATACCTCTTATCTTCTGAAAATTCTTCTAGGCTCCGAATTTTGTTATTTTTTTGATTTCAAATTAATCAGACCTGATAATAAAATTATATCTGTTTTTTTCTGATCGAAAACGTTGCCTTCAGTTTAATTAATACTTTTAACGTTTCTTTGTATAAGTTATTTTGATGAATATTTTTTTCTGTTGCCCATAATGTTTATATTAGATTTTTATTTTTTTTACGTTGCTTGTAAGAGTATTAGTTTATTATGTTTTCTTCCCTACAATTTGTTAAAGAAAAACCTTCAAAACCTATGCCATACGGATATTCTCGTAACATTGGTTATAGGAAACGCGTAGTATTTTCGTAGGAACACAAATAAATAAATAAATTAATTTAATTATATTAAAGCGCAATTGGCACAATATGCAAAGGGACATGAAATTAATTAAAAATGGGCAACGTAAAAAAATAACATTATAAAATAATTATTATTTAAAAGTAAAGATAAAAATTTAATATTAGTTGAGATTTAAATTTGATTCTCCTTCTTCTTCGATACTGGCGAAGACGTCGCCGATTTAGAAAAATTGCGCCATTCATTTCTTCTTTTCGCTGCTGCCGCCAATTGGAGAAACCAAGTACAAATCCTTCTCTGCCTGGTCTTTCTTTTCCTCAGCTTCTAATTATTTCAATTTCGGAGATTTGTTTATTTATTTGTTCTTTTTTTACTCTTAGAAACTATTCGATTCATTCCAAAATATGTATATATACTATAGTATTTATATTATAGTATGTATACAATAATATTTATGTTATGGCACGAATACTATTTGATTTATGCTGTTACACTGTAGTATGTGCACTATGGTATGGTTATCATAATATTTATATGGTAGTATGTAGTATTATGATACGCTGAGCGATAAGTATAGATCTATTTAGTTAGGGTGTCCCAAAAAGTCTCTAACCATACTATGGTACCATGGTATGCTTACCATGAGTTCACGATAAATTATTTAAAAGAGCTATTAAAATTTGGCATAAAAGTGTTTTCTTGTTTTTGGTGTTCAGTTCTTTTTTTTTAGGACTTTTCCTTGATGTAGTAGCTTCAGTTGACTTCAGGATATACATTTATCCAACAAAGTGTAAAGAAATTAGAATTATGTGAAAATATTTCGACATTCCAACAAAATTGCTACAAAAAATAAAAACATAGTTTTTGAATTAAAGTTAATTATTTTCTTTAAATTAGTAAAAAGGTGTAAATATAGAATAAAATAACAATGGCAAATAATTTTGTTTAAAAATTTTATATTGAGATATTTTTTTTTTAATTTCTGGAAAAATTAATTTAAATGAAAACACGAAACGAGCAGCGCACTTCCCTGCCAGAAGAGCAATGATAAGAATTGATCTATTTTTCTTTTCTAAATTACGTTGAAAATGGCATAAAACATTGTTGAATATGAACGGAAGCAGCAGCATTCAAATGTTATACCAAAGTGGGCGTTTGGCAGTGTCGTGCAACAGTCGCCAGCACTTACGGCGATTGGCAAGTGTATTATGACCATAATGTACGTGCGTGTGCGTGAGCATGTGTGTCCACTTGAAAGCGCAAATTCGTATGCGATTTGTGCAACTGCAAATGCAGCTGTGGTTACACTATTTTGCAAACATATTTTGTTGCCGCATTTATTTGCGCTCGTAGTCTTGCAGAAACGTATGCAAAGGAAACGCATACAAGTGCAACAGTAGACCAATAACATACTCACCCGTCTCCATTCAAACAGTAGAGTGTGTTTGTGTGCAAGGGGGAAGTGTAAGGGGGGAAAAATATATGCTGGAAATATGCACAGTAATGAAATGGTGCAAAAAGCACATAAAAGCTGCTGCTTTCTACGCTTGTGGGTGGTTGGGTGTACCGAAAGGATTGCGGCACACATACATACGCGTGTATGCATAATAGGCAAGAGGAATTTGGGAGGTACTTGAAAGGGCACTAAAACTTTTACGGCACGCAGCAGTTGAAATTTAAATAAAATTATAACAAAGTGGTAAATTCTCGATACTTTTGGACGACGTGGCGAGCATACAAGCAACTTGATATTCTTATTGCTCCTGCTGCTGCTGCTGCTGCTGTTGGCTGGCTGACTGGATGGCTGTCTCCAACGCATGTGTGTGCGTGCGTGCGTGTGCGTTGTGCAACACATATGTTTATGTTTGCCACACTTTTAGCGTAGTTTGTTGTATTTGAGTTTTGCTTGTCTCCTCTACTTTGTCGTATATTTTTTTCTCTTTTTCTTTTTTGTTGAATAGATTTGTTTTTCTTTTTTTTATTTAGTTTAGTTGTATTTGTGAAAAACAATAAAGTTAACACAATGTTGCCAGATTGTATGGCAACGCCACATACAACAACATCAACAACACCAACAACAGCGTAAAACAGTATGCATAGTAATATCACATATGATATTTATGTATATATGTATGTATATGCGTGTATTGAAGTACTTTGTTTACTTGTTGTTGGTACTTTTTACTCAATTGCTGCTGCTATTGTGTGCGCTTGTGTATATTCCTTTTCATGCGTGTAAAAACTTTAAGTTTAATACTTTGAAAATTTTATTAAAAACAAAAACAAGAACAAAAATAAAGAAAATTGCCACTAACAAATTTGTTGGAAACTGAAATCAAAGAAAATGCAATAAGCAAACCAACCGCAAGCTAAAAGCACAGGCGTCGTAGCAGAAGAAAATCTGTGTGTGTGCGTGTGTGTGTGCACAAAATGAATGATGATGATGATGCTGTTGTTGAAATTGCAATTTGAGTAGCGTTGCATTATTTTATTGAAAATTATTAAAAATTCATATTTGATTAAATCATAGCACGCAGGGTAGGTGGCTTAGTGATGAATTGGTAGTACAAGTTTTTGAGTAATTGAAGTAATGTTTTGCTTATCTGCCCTTTCGAACATAGCGAATATGTTTTTTCAACTAAGCTAGCAGAAATTCGATATACTGTTTTTCACTTTTCTTTAAACTCTGTCGATTTTCTGTAGAAGATATTATTATTTTTTCTAACCCATTTAAGCTTTTCGATTTTTTCTTTTATTTTAATTAATATTTATCAATTCGCATTTTATAATTTTGTGTTTTTATAATTTTAAACTTATTTTATTTATTTTTTTTATTTTTTTTATTTAACTTTCTTTTATTTCACTGAAAAATTTTTATACTTCCACAATTTGTCTAATTTAAAAAAAATATTTTATTCTATTTTACTTGGTTCTATTATTTTAATTTAATTTAGTTTAATATTGTTTTATATTATTTTATTATATTTCCTATATTTCATTTAGTTTTCTTTATTGTATTTCTGTTTTTCTTCTTTTTTATTTTGTTTGTATTATTCCATTTAAATTTTTTATTTCACTTTGTTTTCTTTTTTTTATTAAAATTATTTAATAATATATTTATATGTATATAAGACACATTAGAGTTGTATAATTGTGAATATCAAGTTTTTCCTAACATAATTTTAGGAGCCCATAGCATGATGATCACTAATTTTTTATTAGTTCCTCAATGCAGTAAGGTCATATCCGATTTTTGCTATTTTATGAAAAATATCTTCACTCACATTCATCCCATTCCAAGCTTTAGCGCTTATTAAAATCTGCAAATAAATGTGCATTAATATATTTGATTATATGTGAGTAGTTTAAAAAATAAATATTATCCACTACATTTCGCTTCCCTTGCTCTCTATCCACACTTGAGTGCTTTTCACTTATGACTGCACCGCATTCATTACCAGCCAACTTGCACTCATTCGTGGACTTCTGCGTCACTTCCCTTGGTTTATTGTGCAGTGGATGATGGCGCTGGTGGTGGTGCTGCTGCTGACCGCCAACGACCAGCTGTGGTTTAAGCCTATGCATACATAGTGAAGAACGCTTCTGTTTAAATGTATATGCGTAAGTTGTACTGAATTCCATGCCATTACGCTCACTTGCTCGCTGGGCCATTTCGCCACTTCTGCTCGTCCAATTAAATACTTAAAATAAACTACCTACCATTTTTTTTTTTCATTTTTGTTTTGGTCTTTCTTAGCAGAGAAAACAGTCGAATATTTAAGTTTTTTTTTTTTTAATTAAATTTAATTTTTTAATTTTTGCTTAAATTTTATTTTTGATATGCAACTCAGGCATAGAAAAGGGGCGCAAAAAAGTGAAAATTGGCATCAGTAATCAATAGTAAATAAGAATCCGTTGAGAATTAATCAACATTTATTAAGCTAGGAAAACGTTTTTAAAGTAATAATGCTTGTCACATATTCTCCATATCGTGACAATTACTTTATCTTTTTACGCCCACAATCACAAGCAATATAATAAAATAAAATTAATAAATATAAAATAAAATAGAAAAATAAATTAGAAATATTAAAATGAAAGTTAAATAAAATTATTCAAAAGTAGATTTAAAAAATTTAGGCAGCTTTGTTTCGGTTTTGAAAGCAATTTTTTTCGTAAATAAACAAATATTTAAATACTTTTTATCTTTTTATTAGAACTTTTTTCTTATTTAGAGAGAAGTTTAGATTCTTGTGAAAAAGAAAAAGCAAAAAATGTTTATAATAATGTTCTATACCGCCGTCTCCAGCCAATACTTGACCAAAAAGTTGAACGTATAAAAATATTTTTTAAATTAAATTGCGTTTCATGATTTTTTTCTATAAACATCTGATCTGTTTTAAATGTGGTAGTGAACTGGTAACTGGCTGGGGAATTTAAATTCTGTCATTTTGCACCTGAAATTTCACGCTCCATTCTGTAGTAAATCAAATCAAAAGTAATTTACTTGAAACCGTTAATTTCAATTAATATAAAAATTCAATTCAATACATATTTATATATGCAAATTTTATAAACATCGTATAAGTTTATAGAAGAAGTAAATAAATACACTGGAATGAACATTTTACCTCCCATTTACAAATTATTGTATCTTATTTATCTTTATCTTATTAGTGAAAATCCAAACAAATATGGTTTTCTTAATTTCCATATGACTTTTAACATTTGCACTGACACACCTTTATGAACATATATATATCAGCCTGACGTTTTCTTAAATAAAACAGTTTATTGAATTATCTTTGCATAATGCTTTTCACAGCTGCTTCCAACAAAACAACCACATACAGCTTTTCGGTGAATTTGCATGCAAATCGATTACGTCACTTGACATTTACTTATGATTTGCATAAGCACACCTTTACAGGCACAATTTGTATTTGAATTGACTATGTGTATACACATGTGATTTTTTTTTTTAGTTTCTAAAATCCACAAAACGCTTGTCTTATTTATTTGCTTTTGCAATATGCAAATATTTGTTTTTATTGTTTTGCCTTGTCTTTCTTATCAATTGCACTACGGTTGAGTGAATTTTGATGGAAAGGTTAAGAGATGGAAAGAAATGTTTAGAGGTTGAAACCCCTTTAAAGGACATATACAGGTATTTTGAGTTGAAAATAAAATAAATGTGAAATGTGAATTAAATTAAACGAAACTGAATTGAAACTAAATTAAAGCTAAATAAAATAAAACAGATTAAATATAATAAATAAAATAATGATATATTAAATAAAAAAATAAATAAAAAAAAATCAGTTAAAAAAAAATAAATAGAAAAATAAAAAATAAAAATATATAACAAAAAAAAATAAAATAAAAAATTGCTATAATTAAACAAAAGGAAGGAAATTAGAAAAAAAGATATAAAAAATAACGAAATGAAATAAGATAAAATAAAAAATAAATAACGAACTAAAAAACAAAGGAATATAAAATAAATCTTAAGATATATGTATATATAATATATATATATTTATTTGGCGCTTTGTAACCCTGAACGCAATTAGAAAGTTTAGCTTAGTTTTTTGTTATTTAAATTAATAAAATAAATTAAGAAAATAATAAATTTTATCAATAAATAATATTAAAAAACTAAAATATTGAGCAACTTTTGAAACCAAAACCTAAATTAGATTTGTAGCAATATGTAAATTTGTGGATCTGAAATACTCCTACTATATAAACTTTTTATGCACAATTTCCATTTAAATGTTATCTCAGTTGGTATAATTGATTTAAATTTAATTTGTTTTGCAATAAAAAAAAAAATACTTGGGAAAATTTTTTATGCTTTTCCTGCTGCAACACATGCAAACTATTATTTACGAAAGAAAATTCTCTCAGACGTAAATAATTAATTATTTACTTATGCTGGCCTCTGCGTTTGCATTCATGCGCCATTGCTTCGCCTTTTTAAATACCCTCACGCCACCAGTGCGGTGCCATTAATGCTTTTTTCAAGACTCTAAATAATTGGATTTTGATATACCGCAATTGTTTTATTGCCTCGCAATTACAAATTTAACAGCAGGCATACAATTGTTTTTGCGAAATATACAAGAAAATATGTGCATATACATATATCTATATGAATACATATAACATTCAAAACAATAAAATTAAATATTAAATTTCTACAATATTCATAAATTTATAAAATTTTCATGCTATTACTGTACACAATAAACACACAGACAAACAAACGAACAAACACATAAACTCTCATGTTACTAATATTATTATTATAATACAGTCAGCAGCAACATCTTTAATTTCAAATATTTGCCTAATCAAATTTCCGCCTGAAAGTATACACACTTAATGGCGTATATATAAATTTCTATACATATATATGGGTTTGTATGTGCATACAATAAAATATTTCAGCAAACAAAAACAGAATTGGTCGCAAAATAAAGGAAATTATGTATTTTTGTATGTATATATTTTTGCGCTGGTATGTAGACTTCTGCACTGCGCATTGTTTGCCGCTAAGCGGCTTTTTTGCTTGAGTGTCAGGCAGACAGCAGCTGGTTGGGTGGGCGAGAGACAGTTGATACTTGGCGTTTGAGTTCTCTGCTAGCCACACAGCTTTCAGCCTCATTTAGGAGCCACTTTTCACAAGTTATTTGTTTACATACCACCGACCCCTCCATCCTTTTTTGCTGCCGCTGCTGTTGCTCATCAAGTTTGCATGTGAATTGCTAAAGCTAAAGCTCATGGATATGGCTGCTTTTAGTTGGCAAACAACTCCTTCCACTTTAAAGGAGAAAACTAATAGAAGGGTCTTTTTCTTCTTCCTTTTTACTCCATCGCAACGGCTTTTAACGCGTTTGTTGGGAAAACACTTTGCCTGCCACGCCGCATTCATTAAAATGTTGTTGATGTCCATTTCTACACTGCTCTGGTCGACTTCTCTCCTTTAGAGCGGGAAAGGCGCATCATCATCAGCAACAGCTGCTACCGATTGTCAGGGCAATCAACTTGACTACTTCTTGTCGGTTGCTTGGTCGGCGATCCGGCCGTTTTTATAATTTTATTATATAATTGTTTGTTTGGTATTTAATTTCTTTCATTTGGTGCTCAGTATTTGCTGTTTTTTTATATGAACGTGAAATATTTAGTATGGTGTTCGCTGGAGTAATGTCTGTCTGCTTTCCGTAAGTTTAAATTAGATATAAAATAAAAAAATTGAACAGAAATAACATTAAAGTAAATTAAAAATCAAATTAAATGAAATTAAATAAACAGAACTAAAATAGAACAACTTCAAATCAAAAAAGGAGAAAAAATAAATTAAAAATAAAACAAAAAGAAAAATAGACTTAAAAAAGTAAAATAAAAAATTAGTAAAATATTTATAATTGTTTAAAAAAGTTAAAAAAAGGAAAATGAAATAAAATTAAAAAATTTATAATAACAATAAAAAAAATAATTTAAAGAATAATAGTATAAAAGAAAATAACATAAAGAAAAATATTAGAAAAATTAAATATAAAAATTAAAAAAAAATAAATAAATTTAAATAAGCAGCAATATAAAACTAAAAAAAAAAAACAAATAAGAATAAGCAACAATATAAAACTAAAAAAAAAACAAATAAAAATAAAAAAAATTAAGAAAATAAGTGAAAAATAATAAAAATAAAAATTAAAGAAATAAACATAATAACTCGATTTCGAACTAAGCAAATCTTTAAATTTGTTTCATCGTTTTAAGGGATCTTACGAGGAGAAAGACACTCGGACTTAGTGAACGATACGTATACGATTTTAAATAAATTGAGCAATTTTAAAGAGAGAATAAAGTGTAAATTGGTTTGATCTGGTAACCCCGCAGAGCAATATAATTGGCAATCAACTTTTTCTTAACAAAGCATTTTAGCAACGAATAATAAATGAGAAACGAGGCATTCGAAAGAGTAAAAAGGACAAAAATGAAGAAATAGACCTAACATTCTCACAAAGAAATATCGCCAAAGTGAAATACAGACAAGAAATGTAAACAAAAAGGCATTTATTGCAAGTATAACACAACAAAAACAAAAACGAAAATGCTGCACACAAAGAAAAGATGAAAACGAAATGTGAGAACAAAGAAATTGCCTAGCATTTTTCTATTTTTTGAAGGACTCAAAGCGATAAGAATTGAAAAATAGGAAAACACTAAAAGTAACAACAAAAAAAAAAAGGCAAAACAATAATACTAACAGCTGCTATAGTCAGCCGCTTAGAAAAAGCATGAAGCGAATCCAGCGCGCCCGCGAAACTCACGCTTCATCGCTAAACGCTTTTGGCCGCAACTCAAGTGAAAGAATAATAATCATTGTGTAGGTTGTTATAGAGTGTGGAAAAAAGCATTATTTTATGTAGCGCTATAAATGTTGGTTGCAAAGCAAAAAAAAAAAAAACTAAATGGCAACCACAAAATTGCTTCCCCCAAAAAAGTAAATGGAGCAGAAATTGCCTATGTATGCCTCCAAGGTGCGCGATTGTGCTTAATTGCCAAAAACGTGTGCTGCAGTAGATATGATGACGTTGATGATGATGATGATGATGATAGAGCACGTGATAAAATGATCTTTTGGTGTATGGTAACATTTTACAAGCTAACTTTGAATTGCCAATGATCAAAGGTGAGCGAATAAATGATTGTGGTTAGGGAATAAAGGATTTAGAGTGCGAATGAACAAATTCGAGGTTACATGTCATAACCAAATAGATTGTGAATGCATATCTCAAACGCTAAAAATATTTGTAAAAAATTGTGAAATTGTGATCAGAAGTTTATTTTCGCTTAAAGTCACTAAAAATAAGCGAGTCAATGATATTGCAACTAGTTTTTGAGTAATAAAATATATATCTGACTTTCCTTTAATTATATTTCACCTATAATAATAATAATAATTTTTTTTTAGTATTTTTCAAACTGAAACGTGTCTCTTAGCTCGTTCATAAACGAAACCTTTTTGTTATCAGTAGAAGCATTTCCGTTAAATATGTAGCCACCAGATATCTTAAAAAAATAAAATGGAGAGAAGAAATTTTTGTCGGAGGGCAAATCGATAAAGAAACCAATTTATTTTAATATATAATCTATACATTTATCATCAGGAATATCGCTAAAAGCAAAAAGAAAAAATTAAAAAATAAAAATAAAATTAAATAAATAAAAAAATGTATTAAAAAAAACCAAATAAAACAAAAGTAAAATACAAGTTAAACTAAAAAAGAAAATAATATAAACTTATACCATACATAAATTAAAAAATTGTGTAAAATATAAACTGAAAAATTAAAATAAAATAAAATTTACAGAAAAAAGTAGATTAAAAAATAAATAAAAAAATAAATAAGAAAAATAAATAAAAAATTAAATGAAAAAATAATTATTACAAAAAAAAAAAGCAAAAAACAAATAAAAAATAAATAAAAAAAATGAGAAAAATAAAATTAAAAAATTAACAAACAAGAATTAAAAACATTTTTTACTATTAAGATTTTAAATCCATTTAAGAAATCCATTTACAAAAAAAGTTTAAAAATTATATTTTAAAGAAAATATTTTGTCTATTTTAAATATAGGTAGTATTATTTAACATACAGAATCAGTAAAGACAAAAAGTTATTAAAAGTCTGTTCCTATTTTAAAATAATTGTTATTGATCTGAGAGATATAAAAAATCATTGAAATTGTAATACGAACTTGTTGTTATTAATAACAATTTTAATTTCTTTTAATTTTATCTCAACTTCTTTAATTTTTCTTTTATTTTTCATTTTTATGTCATTTTTAATTTATTTACATTGTTTGTTAAATTTAATTGTTCAACAAAGTATTTTAATTTTCTTCAGTTACTATTATTTATCTCATTTGATTTTTTCATAGGTAATGGGGTTTTTTTAATTCATTATTTATTTACTCCGGCATTGATTCTTTTTATCGGTTAGGGAAATTTGATCAATTGCAAATAAATTTATAATTTTTTTAATAAAAATTTATAACACATGCATATATTATGGTATAAATTTGTAATGTACTGCTAAATGTATTATTTTAATTATTTCAATTTTTTCTTCTCTTTTTCAGGTAAGATCCTTCAGCTAGATGCGTCCAACGTGCTCTGGTTAATTAAAAATACCTAACTAAAATAAGCACTAAAAGAGTTTTGGTGCATAAATTTATGTATGTATGTATACAAATCCTAAAAAATAATTTCATATACCCAAATTTTGTTTCCTACTTTGCTTTAACAAACAAAAAAAAAAGATGAAAATTTTTTGAATTCAAATAACTAAAGTTTTTTTTCTACAACTGAAATGTGAGTTTTACATGAGACACACCATTGTAACTGTAAGCATGGCAGCAAATAGTTGACCCTAAATCTATTATAGAAACGCATAAATTAGAAGTTTTAATTCTTTTAGTTTTTATGGTTATTTTAATTTTTAACTTTAACAAAAGTGTGCCACAAAAACAAACACTAATCCTCTCTCACTATGATAATAACAAGAGCAAAAGTGTTGTACAATAATAAAATAAGAGTTTAAGTGTTAGTAGCCCACTAACAGGCTGACTGGCTGACTGCCTGAACCGCCACGCCGTCGACCGCATCGCAGTGTGAAGCAGCATTTAACACCAATGACCACATTAGAATGTTAGGTGAAAATTTTTGTTGTTGTTGCTGGTATTTATTCTTTTTTACACGCAGTTGACCGCTTCCACACATTAACGCCTCGGCCAACAACAATAGCAACAATAACAGCAACGGAAAATTTGGTCAACGAACCCAACAGTAGCAACAACAATAGCAACAAATTGCTTGGCAGCAGTCGCACCGCAATACATTCGAAACAAGCGAGTAGACCAGACCGATTGTAGTAAGCTGAGCTTGCCACTAAATGTGTCCTGTGCTGCTGTGTCTGACACCATACGTGCACCATTTGTGTGTTCTTGTTGCGCGCAGTTGTTGTACCCGGTCAAGTATTCTAAATGTATTTAGGTATATATAAGGAAATGCAAAACTTTTTGGCAACAAAGTTGATGTTCTGAGTGTTTTTTTTTTTTCATTTTGTAAGTGACAATGTCGAGGGCTGGTCGGTTTTATCGGCGCTCTGACTTTTGGCTACAATTTGTGCGCTTGTGAGGTCAGCTACGTGTGTGGGTGTTAAGTAAAAGTAAAACTTTTCATGTAGCTCAATGCCCTTTTACACGGAATACCGTGAAAATGTCCTAAAAGGTTGGTCAGAAAAAAAAAGAAAAAAAACTTTTTATCAAAAAGGTTACCCCCAAATGTGGTGTGGTAACAACTACATATACTCTTTTTTCGCTGAGGTTTATTGTGTTGGTTTGCGTAACATAATTGGTGCGTTGCCATCACACAAGTTCCATATACACAATTTCGTATTAACAAAATATATATATATATATATATATATATATAAATTGAGTTCTTCCGGTTGACTTGCCAAAAATGTTGCTAGTTCCACCGGCTCCACCGCAAAATTCAGCAATGTATTGTTATTGTTGTTGTGCTTTTTATACTTCAATTCTACAAACTTATTTAACATTTCCACTTCTATTCATATAATTTACTTTACTATTATTACTCTTTTCGCAATATAATTTTCATATCCTTACTTTTTTGTTGCCATTATTGCTCTACAAGTACAGAAGAACTGCAGCTATAAAAGTTTCGCCTGCAGCAACATAATTCAGTAAACAAAAATTAATGTGGTGCTGCATGAATTCTAGAAAAAATAATAAAAATAATCAAAAAAAAAATAACAAAGAAAATTTTCCTACTTTTTGTGACCCACTTGAGAGGCTCATAACCAACAGGCGAATACATACATACATACAAATGTAGTAACATATTTATACATCATTTACTAACTTTCACTTGCCGCCAAATATTATAGTTGCCAGCGCTTGCCTCGTCTCAGCAAAAAAATAATAATAATAATATAATATATGTAAATAAAAAATAAATAAAATTACTTAAACAAAAGCGTTCAAACACATGCATACATACATGCACGAGTATGCCCTTTCCCTCACAGTCGAAAAAGTTTTAATTCCGCAAAACTTGCTGTCGGAAATTAAATTCACAATTGTATTCATCATGGTTAATTACTTCTGAGCCAATGAGAGGTGGTGCGGTGGTTTGTTAGCAAGTCTACTCCCATTAAAATATGTGCGGCAAGGAGGGAAATCCCGAGAAAGAATTAAAACACTTGAACTTTGGTTAATTAGCATAAAGTATTCTTTGTCCATTGACGTGCCTATGTAGTCCTTCGTATGCATAAAAACAAGAACTTTGTTCTTAGTTTACCAATTTTATATTATTTAAAGTTCAAAATAAAATAAATAAAACTGAAATAAGATTAACATTAACCTTAAAATTAGAACTAAAATTACAATTACAATNAAAATTAAAATTAAAATTAAAATTAAAATTAAAATTAAAATTAAAATTAAAATTAAAATTAAAATTAAAATTAAAATTAAAATTAAAATTAAAATTATAATTATAATTATAATTATAATTATAATTAAAGTTAAATTTCAATTAATTGTAATTGTAATTGTAATTGTAGTTATAGTTATAATTATAATTAAGATTATAAAAAATAATTCAAATTATAATTAAAATTAAAATTAATTCAAAAATTAAATAAAAAGGACAAATAATAAAATAAAATATTAAAATAAAATAAACTCACAAGAATTATGAAAGGGAAAAAAATAAAAAATAAGAAAAAATTAAAACATAAAAGCCTAGTAAAATAAATAAAATAAAATAAAATAAAACAAAAACAAAAATAAAATAAAGAAAAATAAAATGAAAAATTACATAAGGTTAAATTGATAAAAAAAAAATATCAAAAAAAAAATACTGTGTATGAAACAGAATAATATCAATAAAAGTAAAATAAAATAAAACAATTAAAAATAAAAGAAAATAACGTAAAATAAAGCAATAAAAAAAGAATACAAAATTAAATGAAATATAAACATTTAAGTAAAAAATCCAAAAACTTACATATAAAAAAATTAAATAATATGATAAAAATAAAATATTAAAAATACAGAAAACTTAAAATGGAGGAAAAAAACCAAAATTAAAAAGTAAAATAATGAAAGATAATTAAATAATTAAAAAGGAAGGAAAAAAATAAAAATAATGCAGGATGGAATAATCGTAAAAAATGAAAAAAATTAAATAAAATAAGTTAAAATAAAATAAAATTAAAACCTTGTTAGGTAGAAAGATAAAATTAAATAGAATTAAGAAAAACAAATAGAAGAAAAGAGAATTAATTAATAAAATAAAATTTACTAGAATGAGTTGAAATAAAAAGAATTGGAATGAAAGCTAAATCAAATTAAGTAAATAAAATACTTAAAACTATAATAATAAAAATAAAATGGACTAAATTGAAAAAGAAATTATATAAAAATTAATGAATTTAATAAAAAATTCACTAAAATGTTTTAAATTATATTAAAAAAAATTGTATAATATAGTACAAAATTAATTTAAATTCAATTCATGTATAATAAACCAACCCAAATAAACAATCTATAAATTAAATTAACTCTTAATATAAGAAGTAAGCTACTAAAAACCATGAATGGGTCAAAACGAGGAATAGAGTACAACCGCTGTCTACAGATATTATTTTTCAAAAATAAAGTGAAAACCATGCAACATAAATATGTATGTATATTTACTGCATAACATAACATAGTTATCATTGTAAAAATAGCAGCGCGAAACCAGTAAAATGCATTCCTCGCTCATGAAGTTTACATATATAGTAATGGATATGCGAGAGTATGTATTTTTACATACCACGTGTACATATATTGAAAAGTGAAAAAGAAATAAACAATAAACACAATCACAGTTCAACTTTGCAAGTCACAATAAATGGGGAAAATGCAACAGAAACGCACACCTACCTACATATGTACATACATACGAGTACATACCTATAAACAACAAGCATTACAACTGCACAATCAACAGGCAGCTGCAATCAAGCAAACAACAATCAAGCAACGCGACAAGCGAACGTGAACGAATGAATTAGTTTCGCTTTCAAATTGAAAAATTACACACGAGTATTGAGTTTGAATTGAAATTGAATCGAATTGTGCAACAGTGGCACGTTGCTTACTTTCAGCTGCATATTGCTGGAAAATGTAATAAATAATATGTGTTCTTATATATATATATGTGTATATATGTCATGTATATAAACATATTTATTATATACATATGTGGTACCCATTCAACCAGATATGGTTTGGTGTGACACGCGCACACCCACCTAACGGAGCTACTTTGGATGACGTGGCAACGCTGATAAGCTGAATAAATACAAAATCAACCAATACTACACATGCACAAGCCTAAGAGTGCTGCATGTATTTATATACGCTTTGCCTTTTTTGCAATGTGGGTGCAGTTAGTTGCTTATTAAAAAAAAAAACTGGCAAAAATAATATATAAAATGCAATAAAAAGTTAAATCACTACATAACATAAACCGAAATATAGTTTACCTTACGCGATTAGTTTCTCCTCACAAAACATTGTTTGTTGTAAAAGTGAAGCCATAAATGGCGCGAAATCATAACTTGGTAGGAAAATAAACTTGCAGACTTGGAAAATACAAAAATAAAAAATAAGATGAAAAGCAAAAGTGAAGGCATAACATATTCAACTCGATTTTGTTGTAGCGTCATGCGAGAAAAATTACATCCTCGCCAGGTCTTGTGACTCAGGAAAAACTCTGCTCAGATTGCGGAAGTCTTTGGCAAACATCATTCGTACTGTAAAGCAGCCTCTGAAGTATTCTCTGCATACCTACAGTGAATTCTATCTAAATTTTGCATACATTGCAACTGCCTGAAAATATTTTTTTACATAATAAATTTTCCAGTTTATTTGCTTGTATTAGGCGCTCACGTATATGTATAATACATGTATGTATAATCATGTTTGGATGTGAAAATCACATTATTTCGCTTGCATCACGTAATTGGTGACAAATTTCTTGAATGAAGTTGGAAATATACTAGGATACTGGGATGTGAATGATGGTTTAATAAATTTTGAAAGCTAACGGCAGAGGTTTTATGCTGAAGTGATGAAAAATCCACTAAAATTTTTAGTTATATTTTTTGAGTTTAAAAGTTGGCCCCATATAATATGATTGAAAAAAGCTAGCTCAGTACGCTATCTGGTCAGAGTGAGTTCCATAAAACTAAAACCCAAAAACAATTCTACAGAATAATGGTCTCAAAAGGCATCTAGAAAATACGGTATATTTAGTTTTTCTTCGGCAAGGGTGAAAATGTGAATAGCGTTTATGGTTAGAGATGCTTCACGGAGCGGAAGGACAAAAGTCGAAACTGTCAATAAAATCATGGACATTGTCGAGTTGGACCGTCATGTAAGCACTGTTTCAATTGCCCAAGAGCTAAAAATTGCATTGATTTTATTTATTTAAATTAAGCTACAGCTGCTTAATTTAATTTAAATTAATCTAGCTCTTTTTAATATTATTTATTTTTATTTTTTACTTTATTTATTTATATTTTCATTTTTATTTTATATCATTTAGCTTTACAGTTTTTTTTATTTTATTTATATTATTATTTTTAAATTATCTTATTTTATGGTATTATGTTTATTAAATTTTATTTTATTCCTTTTAATTAAACTCTAATGTTCTTTTTTTATCCCAGTATATACTATTTTGTTTTATTTTATTTATTATATTATTTCATTGTTTTTTTTTTGTATTATTTGGCTTTTTCTGTTTGCAGTGAAAACCGCTAAAGTTGATTTAATAAATTCAAACTGCAGATTTTCCGTGCATCAAGCCAAAACCTTTACAAATCACAAAAAAAAAAAAACTAATGCAATAGTATACATAAAATCATGACAAACATATCTACATATATTATATATATAACTATGAATACGGTCACATGAACTTGTATAAATATTTATCTACGTACTTTTGCCAAAACAAAATGTTGCAAATGACTAGTACAAGTAAATATATGTATATGTCTACGTATGTAGAGTTGCATTATATGAACATCAGCAACAAGCAGAAATGTTGTAAAGTTTCTAAATACATTTACCATATACATATACAACATGCCCTCATAATATATTGTTAGACCAACGACCGTTAGATGGCGCGTCATTAAAAATACAAAACAAAACACAGCAAAAAAAAAAAAATAATTGAATTCTACATAGCGAAATAATAACAAAGCGACAGTAAAGGAAGCGCACATGAAACTGTCAACAGGACGAAGAAGAATGGCGTCTGGCTGTGGCAGGCCAAACATTTTTGGTGGGTGTGGTGAACGCCATCTATTTATTCGGCAGCAGCTTTCACTTCCTCTGTGCATGTTGCTTTGTTGTTTTTATATTTTAGTAAATTACATACATAAATACTTCAAAAAAATTTCGCTTACTTGACATTTGCTGGAAATTGAATTTTTTCTTAAATTTTGTTTTTATTATTGTTGCGACAAATTGTTTTTGTATTTAGTTTTTATAAATTTTTTTTAAGTCTCGAAATATTTTTTAATGCACCAAATTCCTTGTTATTTATACTCTCCGGTACCTTACCTGCTCTATGTATGTTTGTTTTGTATTTTGGGTTTTTCTGTTTTCTTTTCATAACGATTTTATACGCTTATTTTCCGCTTATTCTTAACAAATGTTTACTTTACTTTAGAGTAGCAAAGCCTTGTTGTTCCTCGGCGTTTTTATGTACTGTCAACTGTCATTAAGAATGAAGATGGGGGCCACTGTTCTTGCCTTTCCTTAAAATCTATTGAATTATCACGTATGCCTTTGTGAGCTTAAATATAAAAAAGCATATTTATTTGTCCACATAGTAGTGGGTGTTTATTATATTATTTTGTTTGCAGGTTGTGAACCTTTTGTGTATTTCCTTTGACACTTTGAGGAAAGTTCTTTTATTTTTAATTTACGTATAGTCGAAATAACTAGTTCATTGCCCTCGTTGATATGCAGGATTTCTGGAGGGTAAAAGGATGTCAAATTTTATATATATTTTTAAACTTATATTTAATTTGTATTTATATTATGTAATTATATAATATGTAAATAAAATAATTTTTATTCAATTTATATTTATATTTATATTTATATTTATATTTATATTTATTTATATTTATATTTATATTTATATTTATATTTATATTTATATTTATATTTATATT